CGACCCATCAAGCACAAGACCCCGATGCTCCAGATACCCCTGCACATCATGACAATCAAACCACTCACCATCAAGATCAAGCGAGCGAATCCTCTCCTCCTCGCTCATCCGCACCTGCGTCTCATCCACCAATCCCTCTAACGTAACAGCAACAGGTTCCCGCTCCCCACTCCAATCTTCATCCCAGTCCTGGATCCCTCCCCGCTGCAAAATCCGCACCATCCGCCGCAGAATCTTTCCCGGTCTCCGGCTGTTCTCCGGGTACACGGGGTTTCCATCGACGTCCGCGCGCGGGAAGTGCTTCCCCGCCCCGCCGAGCGTGTAGAAGGGCATCTTGACGAATTCAAGCCCGCTCCCGATCTCGGATTGCAGCGTGCGCCGGAAACTGCGTCTTATGCCTGGCATGTCGTGGATGCAGGGGACTAGCCCAAAGACGCGACTTAGGAGGGCGGGCTCGGTGCGTGGGTCTGTTAGCCAGCGGTAGGTGTGCTCGAGGCTGAATCTGTGGAGGCGGCGGGAGAGGTTGGATTCTTGATGGCTGTATGTGTAGATTGTTGCTGTTGGGAGGATGCGGTTTATTAGTGGGGATGGGGAGCGGGCTCGGGTGTATCGTGGATATGGAGAAGGGACGATGGAGTTCTTCTGCGGACGCGTGTGGGACACTTCGTAGCCGAATGTGTCCCTCTCCATCGATGCACTGTTGGTCTGCTCGAATCGGAGATCATTCTCGATGGAGGTAAATCGCGTCTTGTTTATTTCTGCTAGAATGAGTTCTCTTGTGCGAGCGAGATAGTCCACGTTTGGCTGGAAAGTCGCATCGCCATTGAGGTTATCGATTGCGTCGTGGTGGGCTCCACCTATGAGATCTGATACATTCTGTAGTGTCTGCTCTAGTACATTGACGCGAGATCGGAGTGTTTGGATAGTATTCTCCTTTTTGAGACGATAGGTACGTTGCGCCCGTCGGATTTGCAGACGTCGTTCCTGTGGAGCGGGTCAACAATGTTTATATCGCAGGTGGGCCGAGATCTACCTCAATGGCAGTGGCATCTTTGGCCGTATCCAATCTCGGCCGGCCTCTTTTCCGTACGGGACGATCCGGAGCAGAGCTTCTGTCAGTCACTTGGTCGGGGATCCCCGGTGCTTGGGCTGTAGGTCCCTTTCGGGACCTTAGACGACGATCTGACTCGGCTTTGATCTCGGGGCTTAATTCCCTAGAGGTGTTTGTTGATGTTTCTGCTTCTTGTGGCATTTCCAGGTAGGATCTTGACGATAGCATGTCCAATAACATGGGGGAATTCCCGGGTCCCTGCATCTGCAATTTTGAGCTGAAATTTCCAATTTATTCGGAATAGAAAGATCTTGATGTGTTGAGATTTGAGGTTGACATTGGTGTTGACCTCGGGATAATTAATTGATCACTCATCCACTAATGGAAGAACCTCGGCCTAGTGAACGCTAATGCGAAGACAGGGGTTCCCCACTGCTCTGCAGATATTTGTATCAAAGTACTTCGTACGGAGTACTCCTTACTGACTTCAAGTTATGAAATTATGAAATTATGAAATTATAGTGCAAGTCACACAAGATACCCGTTATTTTATTCCTGAACACACAGACCTCTGTGGCTTCTCTCTTCCGTGGGATTCGTGTCCCACTAAGACCTCACACGTCGGGTGATATTTTCTGAGAGGCAGCTGAAACTGGACTTTATCCCTACATGGGAATATGGGACCTTCAAACAAGAATGTACGGTGAACTCCGGCGCAACTTCGGATCCAATTCACACACCAAGTAACAGCTCCGAGATCCAGATCGGACCAGAGATTGTATGAAGTGTGAAATCCGAACTGCCGATCGAATATGACATCCACTACGATTGCTATTGGCTATTGGTTCTTGGCTGGCTGACGATCATGCCTAATACTACTCCTTACGGAGCATTTCCCCACTAATGCTTCGACCCAGAGCTGCATTCTTATAAAGTCAACTTGATTTCTACATTCACTCTGGAAATCTCCAACCTCTCCAACAGAAATGACTCTCTCATTCATCTTGCGTTTTGCGGCCGCAGCACTCGTGCTGCAGGTCATCCGTATGGCATTCAACTCATGGCAACACTCGCGCAATGCGAAGCGTCTAGGATGTGGCAGTGTGCCAATGTACCCGGGCAAGGATCCTTTTGGGATCGACAACCTGAAACAGTCACTGGTGGCAGATAAGGCCAACCTGATACCTGAGTTGGCTGAGAAGCGCGTCAAGGTCATCAGTGAGCAGGAGAACCGTTATGTTTCGACGTTTTCATTCCGTAATCTCGGAAGAACACACATATCTACAGTCGATCCGAAGAACGTACAAGCTATCTTGGCTACGCAATTCAAGGACTTCGAACTTGGTCCTGTCCGTCAGATTAGCATGCACCCGCTGCTGGGCACTGGTATTGTGGGTTTCTACCCCTTGTTTACCCTCTGTCTCCAATCTGGGTATTGACTGTTTATAGTTCACCGCCGATGGAGAGGAATGGAGCCGATCCCGTAGTCTACTGCGACCTCAATTCACCCGCGAGCAGATCAGTCAATTGGAATTGGAAGAGAGGCATGTGCAAAAGGCGATGCAAGCTTTGCCCGTCGCGGCCAACGGATGGACCGCCACAACTGATGTCCAGTCCATCTTCTTCCGTTTGACCATCGACTCCGCGACAGAATTTCTATTCGGTGAAAGCGTCGAGAGCCAGCTCGGCGCCCTGAACGGCCTGGACAGACCCGAAGACTCCTTCGCCACCTACTTCGACAAGTCCCAATGGGTCTGCGCGCAGCGATCCCGCTTCGAGAAACTTTCCTTCCTCGTTGAGAACAAGGAAACCAGATTCTCCGACAACCAAGTGCACTCCTTCGTTGACAAAGTCGTCTCAAAGGCCCTGGCAGCCTCCCAATCCGAAATGCAAGCCTCCCCCGACGAGAAATCATCATACGTCTTCCTCGAAGCCCTCCTCGAAGTAACCCGCGACCCAATCGAGCTACGCTCCCAACTGCTCAACATCCTCCTCGCCGGCCGCGACACAACAGCCTCCCTCCTAAGCTGGACATTCCTCATGCTCGCCCGTAACCCAGACGTCTTCACCAAACTCCGTGAAACCATCATCTCAAACTTCGGCACCTTCTCCAACCTCCAGAATATCACCTTCACCACCTTGAAATCCTGTCAGTACCTGCAGCACGTGATGAATGAAGTGCTACGTCTGTATCCAGTAGTCCCCTTCAACCGCCGCACCGCAGCCCGCGACACGACCATCCCGCGTGGTGGCGGCCCAGAAGGCCAAGACCCCGTCTACGTCCGCAAGGGCCAGTCAGTCATGTACACGACGCATGTTATGCATCGCCGCAAGGATCTGTGGGGGCCTGACGCAGACCAGTTCAAGCCTGAGCGCTGGATGGAACGCAGGGCTGGCTGGGAATATATTCCCTTTAATGGTGGGCCGCGGATCTGTATTGGGCAGCAGTTTGCACTTACTGAGGCTGGATATGTTATTGTGAGGCTTTTGCAGCGCTTTGATAAGATTGAGAATGTTTATCCCGATCAGAAGATTCGATATGGTCTTACTTTGACTAGTGCGCCTGCTGATCTGGTTACTGTGCGCTTGCACCAGGCTGAGGATGCTTAAGGTGGTTGGGTTGCCTTTTGATCCCGCGTGTCTTCTTCTTCGATACTTGTATTATCTTTCTGCGGCTCTTTGACGTCTTGTCTTGGGTTTTCCCGGCTACCGAGATCTGATCCAGTGCGTTGATTTGGGTCTGTTTTTTGCTATCAGAGTTACTGTTCGGGTTATGTGCCTTTGACGATGATGATGACCTAGTTATGAATACACTTTCATGCTTTCACAATTCACGGCATATATGACTACCTAGGTAGCTTACAGATAGCCTATGAAGCTTCACTATTCATTTCCACGCAGAAAATGCCTATATAAATATTGTAGACCGAAGCATAGACATAGAAGCATAAAGACGCTGTATTTCCGCAACAGAGAGAAAGATGTGTCATATTCAAGGTATTGTCTACACTGCTATGAATGTGAAGTATATATATACTAAAAAAAAAAAAAAAAAGAAAGGGATGGCGCACAAATCCACCCCCAAGGATACACGGTACCAGCTTCCCAGTGGGTATGGGACATACCACCTTCTCACTGCCGGTTTCGGGGTTCCGGACATAGTTGAGCAAGTTGTGTATCCCAGCCACTGAGCTACTGGAATGGATTTGTACGTTGGGAACTTTCTTTACCTGCCCTATATAGAACCTTTTTCCTAATTGGGACACAACTACTCAGAGTTCGATTCCTCCACGGGGGTTGATTTTATTTTATTGACACTGCATTCTAGGTCCCTTGAAATTCAGAAATCTACACGAGGTCGTACTTGAGTTATCTTCAACGTTGGGGGGGGTATTTATCAGTTTCACATAGATGCTAACTAGTCTGAGGCTTACACCCATGGAGATAATATATATCTGAGGCATTAGTTAACATGTTGATGCACTCAGGCAGCAAGGCACTGCTTGCCTGCTTTCTTGTGAGTCAGAACTCTCTTTTTTCCTATGAAGCCCATAAGGAGCTTTACAGTAGTATATAGATCATCAATGCACGGTCTCTCTTGCTCTTCTTCTAGTGGAAGGAAGACGAACGTTGCATTCCTCCTCTCTGCCTTGTGTCTACATCCATACTAGACAAATCAGAATGAGATACGGAAATATTATGAAACCACAGTTCCTAGAAATATAGAAATCCGGTTCTATAACTATAACTACAATGCCTGGAAAGAAACACACAGTATTTGCAACACATTCGAAATGAAATTTATATAGTATAATCGAACTAAATCGAGAAGAAAGTAATGTATAAGAAGTAGTGTAGAAAACAGTCAATCCTGAACGAAAACGCTCACACCAAACCACCCTGTGAATAAAATCTCCCCTTTTGCCTTGAATCATACGAGATGAATCCCTTAGTTGGGGCTAACGCACTGGAAGTAGTAAGGGTTCCATTCGCGGCAAGTGGTTCCAGTCTCGCAAACAGTGGGGCCAGTCCAGTTGATGCCACCGCACTGGTAGTAGTGCTTAGCAACGTTTCCAGTAGAGGGGGTGCCAGTAGGTACCTGAGCGTGGGTGGTGGCGGTGACAAGGGTAGTCGGGGCGGCAGTGGTGGTAGTAGGCACCTTCACGAGGGTGGTGGTGGAGATGGGGGCAACAACGGCAGCGGTGGTAGTCTTAGCGGGAGCCGTGGTGGTTGAGCTGGAGGTGGCGCTGGGGACCTGGATGTTGGGGTTGGCGGTGGTGGTGACCTTAACATCAGCGGTGGTGGTGGTGGTGTGGGCAGCGGTCTTGGTGGAGGTCTGGGCGGTGGTAGTGGTAGTCTTAGCGGCGGTCTTGGTGGATGAAGTAGAAGAGGAAGTAGGGGGGAGGCAGTTCCGTCGACAAAGTACTTCTCGAGGATGGGGAGGTAGGTGGCGTAAGCTGGGCCATCAGCAGGCTCCAAGCTGTACATGTAAGATCCCCACCAGGGACCGGCAGCCCACCATTCGGCGCCCATCCAGACGTCGCTGTTGTCGGACATGTAGGAGAGCATGCCCTCGACGGCAGACTCGCAGACGCTGTTGACACCACCGGCGAACTCGCCGATGAAGCCCTTCTTGTGGTTCTTCTGCAACCAGGCGGTGGCAGACTCGAGACGCTCCTTTCCGATGGTGGCGCTGACGCAGGACGGGGAGGTGCCGGAGCTGTCGCCGTCAAGGTACTGGTGCATCTCGTAGACGATCTTGTCCTCGGAGTCAGTAAGGGCCTTCAGGTTGTCGTTGTTGGCGGTCCAGGAGTGGGCGCCGCTCCAGGCGTTACCCTCGACGAAGATGTACTGGCTGGTGGCGCCAGCGGCACGGATAGCATCAATGGCGGCCTGGTTCAGGTCGAGGACGAGGGTCTGGTCAAGATCGTGGTACTCGTTGTCTAGGGAGAATGGTGTTAGTGAATCGTTTCATGGTGCAAGCTTGACTACGAGTGGCTTACTGGTGTCGAAGACGACCTTCTCATTGGAGGCGAACTCCTTAGCAACGGTCTTCCAGAAGGCCTTGAAATCGGAGGTAGAGGTGATGATGTTGCCACCGCTGTAGATAGAGCGTTAATGTCATATTAACCACGGCGGGCAGTTCTAGTTTTGGTGCACTTACTATCTTCCGTAGTTGTGGGGATCAAGGACGGCATAGGCACCGCTGTCGGTGATGAACTTGACAGTCTATAGAAAACAGTTAGACCTTGAGAGACAATTAGTAGCCATAGGTATATCACGTACGGACTTGAGGGCGGCCATGTAAGTGGCATCGGGGGAGCCGGTCATGCTGGAGGGCACCAGGCGCTCCATCAAGAAGGGAACACGGAAGATGTTCATGCCGGCATCTCTCAGAATCTTAATCTGGGAGGTCTTGGGCCAGGTGTAGTCCTTGTCCAGAGTACCGGGGGTGTTGCCGGGGCCGAACTCGGCACCGGACTCGCTGACACCCAACCAAGTGAATCCATTGGCGCGCTTCTTGATATCAGTGGTCTGCTTGGTGGGAATAACGTCCCGTCCGCGGGGGTAGGCGCAGGCCACGGTAGCGGCGCTGGCAGCCAGAACAATGTTGGTGAACTTCATAGTGAAATGTAAAAGAGAGTGGGTGTCGAGTTTGACGGTAAAGAATGTGATAGAAGGAAAAGAACGGAAATCAAGAAACCAGTCTTGAAGTCTGAATGAAAGTGAATGAATGAATGTAATGTACGAAGCAGGAGACGGACCTGCGGAGGTTATCTATTATATAGTCATGCCCTGGCTTGGAGGCGTCAAATGGCGCTTGATGTGGACTAACAGGCAATCCTAAACAGAGTGGATTCATCATTCGAGACCTTTCCTATAGCCACTCGGAAGAATATTCGGCTTAATTATGACCGGGATACCGGGAAACGCTAACCCTGACGGCTGCAGCATATGTCTCTTCTAGACGGCGGATCCTCTCCACCAAAGCCGGATAAATAGTCAAATTTCTCAAAAAGCCACTAGATCAAGCGCGAGCCCGAGTGGTCGAGAAGTGTGTTAAGTCGAATGCTATCCATAATAAACCCAATCTATCGGAGATTGCCAGTTAACGCCTGGCTCCATGATCTGATGATATGTGGAGATGAGATCATTATAACGGTGTAGAATGCACTATCAGCTTCTATTTGGCTAGTTTAGACGAGGGCGCCCTCGAAAAGAGGCAATTTAAAGGAAATTGTTCTGATACACTTGCGGGATCGACTAACCCGTCTTGGGTGTAGCGGCCGAAAATGATGCGCCAAAGAAAATCAGGGAAAATGAGAGATGCTCAAGATGAAACATGATGTGGCGTTTAGGTTGATAACCGTTAGATTCCCGGCATAATTTGCCAAAATGAACTCGGAACCTCCTTTGCAGGTTAAGGCAGCCTCATAATCTAAGCGATTATCCACTTAAGTTCCGGATATAACTTAGGACCCGAATGTATTTTTTAACTTGAATGGTCTCACCCCCTTCATAGTGTAAGCACATCTCTACATATTTTCAGGGGTGAATGGCATCAAATATACTTATGTCAACAAGATTGGACACCCGTCTTGGAATGCACTATGGAGTTACCGATGTTTGACACAACATCTTCTACTTTATGGGATTTCGATACTCCGTAAATGCAGATACATCAGATTCTTTTAAAGTTCTAACTCAATATCATTTTGATTGGCGCGATTTAATAAATGCCAATTTAACCGGCAGAATACAAGGGCGGTGTCCTGCGAAAACATCCACAGCTCAGAGGTTGAGATCTATAAAATCAGATTCGTCGACAACGTGTTTCGTACACTGATTCAATTGTAATCAGTCAGTGATTTAAGCACTGTAAATCCGCAGCACCCTATCTCAATCAATCCGGCCCGGCACGGCGCAAAAAAAAAAGGCAAAAAATGTGTCAGTATATGTCTGTAGGATAATGGATGTTTAGGAAAAGTAAATACCGTCTTTTAATCACTTTGAGATGTCCACTAGGGACAATATGCCGATCCTTGATGATCCATTTAACCATCGTTTTTTTATTACTTTGATCCAAAACGAGAAGGTACAGAGTTGAAGCTATCGAGAGCACTCGCCGTTTTGGGATTCGAATTGCATTTTCGTGTCACACGGGATTCGAACACCCGTCGGTAGGTACACGTGACTTCCCAAAAGCGTAATATCCCAGAAAAGAACAGTAAACAGCCCACCCTATCTCCATAACGAAGGACCTGTAAGGAAAAAAAAATAGGTAGCTTCTCTTTGATTGAGCGTGTCATCCTTAGTGCAGGGGCCATGCTAATCTTCTCTGTATATTTTCATTTGACCATATGCCCCGAAGGGCGAAAAGACATCCTTAAAGTTCAATATAACCTGTCTTTTGGGCAGAAAGCTACCGCCTACTTATTTAGTCAACAATTTTATCGGGCTGTGATTGGATAGTCATCAATGGTCACTGGTAGCTTACTTGTCACGTGAAATTGGAGGTTTTAGTCTGAAGCTCTCAAGGAGTATGCATCCATTAATCGGTTATAGGGTCTAAGCGTATCCAAGCTCATAAGAAGCTACTCTGTGATATTGAATTCAAATGAATGATCGCCTTCCCCGGCTGGTACAGCCTTTGCATCATTGTCATACAGCGTTCTTTCAAAGTATCGCACCCGTCCATCCGGTCGTGCCAGGAGAATAGTTTGTTTCTGTGTCCCATATGATCCGCAGGTATAACTCTGGTCAGGGGGTCCGGTTGTTGGTGTGTTAGTCTCATCCTCTACCCGAGCTGCAGCGGTTCTCTCTGCAGCTCGATCACGATCATTTGCAGCACCGATGAGAGGAACGAAGATGCTCTTGCGCAGATGATGGATGTACGTCTCAATTGTGGCATTCTCCTCTGACAGTCGTGGCAAGGTATCGGTGTTGAGAACCCCCAGCAGACGATCAATCAATGCATCCTCATCCTCCCCGTCTCCCTTCTGCACATGCTCGTCAATAGCAGCCTCCATCAACCGCTCTCCATCGATAATCTTTGGCCAGGTTCTGTCATCAAAGCTTGTGTTGCTAAGTCCACGCGTCTGGTTCTTCTCCGTTGCCACCCAGGTGATCTGATCCATGTCTTCGGAACGGTTGGAGACAATGGCCAAGGGCTCATTGATATGCCCACACACCAGACTGAAACCCCCACCTGCTTTGCTTCTGGACTGGCCACGATGCCTTGTACAAACTCCCTGGTATCATCTGACTTGTCGGTGGACCCGATCAACCAGCTGTTGACGATGACGCCCCGGCTGTAGACTCCGATGGCTGCGCTGGTCGAGTCTTCACGGTAGTTGGTAAGAACTGCCAGCTTGCCATGTTTGGTGACCCCCATCCAAGTACCATGTGTAGATCGGGCTAGGTCTCGTGAGCCGAGGACATGTGATGCTGGCTCTGGCCACCAGTCTGGCGATGACGTCGGACGATGGAGGAATTCCTAGATATGATGAGCTTGGAATTCCAGTCAGAGTGGGGATACCTACATCTCTGTTGTTGATTATGATCAATGAGTAGTCCGGGTGGGCAGTTGAGATCAATGCGATACACATGGTTTGAGTTCCGAGGTCCCGGGATAGTTGAAGCGGGGAATAATAATGCAGGGTTCACGAGTTTAACAATGGTATGTATAGGATGGAATAGAAGGGCTCTTAAATAACAAAGGAAATCTTGGAAGAGAAAGAGGAACGGGCCATGACAAGGAACTAGTTAAGGCATCTCGGGTGATTGGGCCACTCCCTTAGCGACGTGTACCTTAGGCTTGTACCTCTCGTACCATATTCACAGTATGACATTTGGAGTTAAACAAAGATCTCCAAAAGATATCATCAAGATATACATTGTTTCACACGAATGACTGAATCATTAACAATGCACTTGAGCAAAGCGTCTCGCGTGACGTCAAGACACATCCGTTGATTTTGGAGAAATGCAGGTCACGTCTCTTAGTTATCGTGAAGTGATTTATGTCTACTATTTTTTACGAGTTTCTAGTGTTTTATTTCTGCTTTCAATCATCATATACCCCTGAACTATCTTTGTTGCCTTGTTCGCCCTTTTTTTTTGTCCCACTTAGGTGTTCGTCTCAGATCAGCGGGGCTGACTGAAGACTAAAAATTCCCAGGGATTTCTTTTCTCTCACTTCAATTCACCCAGGCTTCATCATGTTTGGAATCTTTGCGGACTTGCTGTCGTAGGTTCAAATCATCATACGCCTCGGAATGGCCCCGCAAGCTAACGCAGGTCTATCTTATAGCTCGGTCATCACGATCTTCTTCCCCGTCTTCGCTTCCTACAAGGCTCTCCGTTCCTCTGACCCCTCACAACTCGCACCATGGCTGATGTACTGGGTGGTGCTTTCGGTCATTTTACTGGCTGAATCCTGGACAGTATTTATCATCGGATGGTATAGTTCAAACCGTTCCGCTCAACAGGACCACAAGCTAATCGTAACTCGATAATTATTCAGGCTCCCATTCTACAGCTGGATCCGCCTCGGTTTCATGTGTTATCTCGTCCTTCCCCAGACACAAGGGGCTCGCTTGCTGTACCAAGACTATGTGGACCCGTTCTTGACACACCATGAGCGCGAGATCGAAGAGATGATCGGCCACACTCATGAGCGGGCCAAGGCACTGGGTCTTCAATACTTCTACCAAGCTATCGATATGATCCGGCAGAAAGTCTTGGGTCTACCACCGCAGCGCCCCACGACACCCCCTCAGCCAGGTGCCGCTTCCTACGCGCAGTCGCTGCTATCGCGGTTCAACATCCCCATTGCCGGAGCAGGAGCAGGAGCAACTGGGGCGTCCGCTAACGCAAATGATTGGTATTCAGTTCTTAGTGCCGCTGTGGGCTCGGTTACATCTGGAAAGTCTCGGGAAGCGCGGGACGAGGAGCTTTCGGCCAGTGGCAATCTCCTCCAGCGCCAGCTACAGTCGATGTCTGGAGCCGAGAAGGCTCACTTTATTTCCTCGCAGCGAGAGCTGCTAGATCATCTCCGGACAACCCTAGTACAAGAGGAACAGAGTAACCCTCGGGGTGGGCTTGAGGCTGATGACCTTGCCTACGGCGTGCCGTTGCGCAAGAATCGCAGTGAGAACTCCTTCGAGGTAGTCGATGATGAGGATCTAGGACGTCGCCCGGAACGAAAGTCTAGTGGTGGGTGGACATCTGGTTGGTTCGGCAACGAGCAAGATTCATCGGGTTCATCTGGTACTGACTTCGCTGCACGGGCTGTCGATGAGATTGCCCGGTCGCGCGCAACTGGATATGACCGATCATGAGTCCTGCGGAGATATTCCGCTTTTAACAGGGGTTAGAGTACAAGAAAACCAAAATAGAACTTCTACTTGCTCTTGCTGGGGGATGGGAGGACAGAGGTATTGCTAAATAACATCTAAATCAAAGTTGAATTGAATGCCAGGTCAAATACAAGTGAGAACAACCGAGGACGTCAAGTTGAATTCCTCCGGTCGGAGGAATAGCCTTGCATAAAATAGATTCACGCAGATGCACTGCAAGGACGGGGAGATGGAAGTATTTGATATCGCTGTACTTCGATATCT